TTCCTTCCTTCTTTCCTTCCTCCATTCCTTCCTCCATTCCTTCCTCCTCTCCTCCCTCCTTCCTTCCTTCCTTCCTTCCTTCCTTCCTTCCTTCCTTCCTTCCTCCATTCTTTCCTCCTTTTCTCCCTCCCTCCCTCCTTTCCTTCCTTCCTTCCTTCCTTCCTCCATTCCTTCCTCCTCTCCTCCCTCCCTTTCCTTCCTTCCTTCCTTCCTTCCTCCATTCTTTCCTCTTTCCTCCCTCCCTCCCTCCTTTCCTTCCTTCCTTCTTTCCTTCCTTCCTTCCTTCCTTCCTTCCTTCCTTCCTTCCTTCCTCTATTCCTTCCTTCTTTCTTTCCTTCCTTCATCTTTTTCTTTCTAGGTACTAGGAAATTTATGCAGCATCTTCATACTGGGCCACATTAATAGCTTTGATTTTTTTTTTTCTTTTATCTTAACCAGGGTTTTCATATGTCACTAAATTTCTGTGGCTGGATTTGAACTTGCAATACTCTGAGCTCAGCTTTCCAAAATGTACCACCATACTTGGCTTCAATTTTCAGTACCCATTTTAATAATAGAACTGTGATAGTTATTGGAAAAGCAATTGCTGTTCTTTTTTCCATTCCTCCCTCCCTCCCTCTTTCCCTCCTTCCTCCTCTTCTGTTTGTCTCTTTTCATTTCCTTCCTTCCTTTCTTCTTCCTTCCTTTCTTCCTTCCCTCCTTCCAGTCTCTCTGTAGTGGGGAACTGAAACCCTGGCTAAGAGGCACACTTCAAAAGGATATGAGACCCTGAAAATTTTCCTAGGAATGTGTAGTTTTGCTTTATCATGGTTGAAGATATTTCGGTGCATTTAACAGTAGTGAAAATGTAATGAGCATGCCCTAATACTACCACTGGAATTTACTTTTACTTCAAGATAGCTTTTTCAAAAATTTTATTTTTATTAGTACATGACTGCAAGACATAACGACTGCAAGGATCAAGCAGAGTTGGTCCATGGACATTATAAGTCTTATTGGAAATCGAACTCAGGACCTTACACTTGCCAGACAGTCAGTGTGCCTTTGATCTCTATTCCCAGGCTCCATAATATATCTTAACTCTACTTATTCCCCCTCCTACCCCTTCACCTCTTGTTCCTCTTCCCATTTATAAAAGACTTATCTCCCTTTTCAGATTATTTATATTTTATGTTAGTCTTTATTTATGTTCATCACCATGTGATATTTAAGTTTATGTGTGTGATGTATTTCACTCAGGGTAGTGGTCTCAAATTGCCTCTGTTTTCCTACAAATAACTCAAGTTTATCTTTTTTATGGCAGAATAGATAAATACCACATTCTCCTTATCCATTTATTTGTTGAGGGACATATAGGGTTCTTGATATATTTACTTGTTATGAGTTTTGCTGCTATAAACATGGTTATCAGTGGATCACTGTGATATGATACACTTTACTCTTTGGGGAAGATACCCAGAATTGGAATATCTTGTTGGAACAGGAATTCTATATTTAGGTTTTTGTTGTTGTTGCTGTTGTTTGTTTTTTTGAGAATATCCATACCGGCATTGAAAGTGTTTGTAGCACTTTACGTTATCACCGAAGGTATTCAAGGGTTACTTTCCCCCAAAATCTCAACAGCTTTTGTTATTATGTGATCTCTTTTTTCTTTCCTTCTTTCTTTTTCTTTGTTTTCTTTTTTTTTAGACAGTCTCACCATGGACTTGAACCTACTATGTAGCCCTGGCTGGCTTTGAACTCATGGTGATACTTCTGCCTCAGCCTCCCAAGCGCTGAGATTGCAGGCATGCACCACCACACACAGACCATTAATTAATTTCCTGACTGTGACCCTTATTTTCTGAAATGAGGTGGAATCTCAGCTTTTGCTGTCATTTGCATTTCTCTAATTGCCAGAGATGTTGAACATTTTTTTCATGGACCTTTGGGTCCTTTGTACTTCTTCTGAGAAGTACCTAAGCAGAGGGTTACACCAAGGAAAAATATCAATGCACTGGATGAAAGGAAGCCAAGCTGTATCCGGTCTGATCTATTGTGCTCATGTGCAGAAATGCAAAAAACTAAGGGCCATTAGTTGTCTTGGGATGTGAAGTCCTCCTTGTCAACTAGGAGAGCCTGTGGGTCTTTATTTCTTTCATTCTTCTTTGCTGTCTTTCATCCCTAGGGATCCCAACCAGCCCGTTCCCCAAGATACCAAGTTCATCCACACCAAACCGAACCGCTTTGAAGAGGTGGCGTGGTCCAAATACAACCCTAAAGACCAGCTCTATCTCCACATCGGCCTGAAACCCAGAGTGCGGGATCATTACCGCGCCACCAAAGTGGCTTTCTGGTTGGAGCTGGTCCCCCATCTGCACAACCTGAATGAGATATTCCAGTACGTCTCCACCACCACCAAGGTCCCCCCGCCAGATATGACATCCTTCCCCTACGGGACCCGGCGGTCTCCAGCCAAGATCTGGCCAACAACCAAACGCCCGGCCATCACTCCGGCCAACAACCCTAAACACTCCAAGGATCCTCACAAAACAGCGCCCGAGGACACCACCGTCCTCATCGAAACCAAACGGGATTACTCCACCGAGCTGAGCGTCACCATCGCTGTGGGAGCATCGCTTTTGTTTCTCAACATCTTGGCCTTCGCAGCCCTGTACTACAAGAAGGATAAGAGACGCCACGAGACGCACAGACGGCCCAGCCCACAGAGGAACACTACCAACGACATCGCCCACATCCAGAACGAAGAGATTATGTCTCTGCAGATGAAGCAGCTGGAGCACGAGCATGAGTGTGAGTCCCTGCAGGCTCACGACACCCTGAGGCTCACCTGCCCTCCAGACTACACGCTCACGCTACGCCGGTCCCCGGATGACATCCCGCTCATGACGCCAAATACCATCACCATGATCCCCAACACATTAACGGGCATGCAACCCTTGCACACGTTCAACACCTTCAGCGGGGGACAAAACAGTACAAATTTACCGCACGGACATTCCACCACCAGAGTATAGCTTTGCGCTTCACTTCCCTCCGCCCCTCCATCCTTCCTTCTTTCTTCCTGTCTCCTTCACCCCGATGGAAGACGTCCAGAGACGCAGAAAGACAAAAAATCTGTAGGAAAGCTTTTCATCTCATCGGTTTAGGATGACAACTCTGGCAAAAAAACAAAAAATACAAAAAATCGAAACAAAAACAACAGCAACAAAACCAACAGGTCACCTGGTTTCCCAAGACCTTCCCTCCCCTTTGGCATTCTCCTGAACTGCTCCACCAACTTCTCACCCTATGAAATGTGAAAAGCCTACGTTTCTCTTACAATACTGCTTTAAGATTTCTCACCCACCCCAAAGACCTCTCCAGTCTCCAGAACATCTCCATTCAATGACTCAGATGTTCCCAGTGCTCACAATTACCAATTCACACTTCTGGAACCCAGCGAGGGACATCTAAATTTTTTTATTTAAAAGAAAAATAACAATTGAAAAAAAAAGTCATAAATTCTTTACATGCCATACAATGGATGGCTCTACTTATGGAAAGAGAGTGGTCTGTGGGTTCTTTTTTCTTTCTTTTTTTTTTTTTTTACCCAGCATTATAAAGAGTTGTAGTCCAGAGAGAAGGAAAAAAGTAGAAATTTTATCATTAAAATAAGACTTGACTATGCAGAGAATTAAACCTATAGTGTTCTGTGCAAAGAGCTGTTTTGCCAGCCTGAACTATATTTAAGAAACTTTGTAAAAATGAAAAAAAAAAAAAGAAATTGTATATAGCTGTGAGTTTAAACAAACAAAAAACACACACAGAGGGGGAACAAAAGAAAAAAAAGCTTTTATTGATGTTTTCAGTTTGAAAGAGCTTTTAGCAAGGTTGTGATTTTTCATTGTGTTCTGAATGTATATAAATATAAATACATATATATTATATATACATTAGTCATATCACCTCTGTTTCCCTCTGAAGCAAACAACAAAAAGAAAGCTTTTGTTCTTAACTCTTTGTGGTAAAAACAAACAAGCAAACAAAAGACATGGGATTTTTTCTAATTTGTTTCATTTCTAAGAGGACCTGGCGTGGAACAGAAGAATCCTAGACCATCTGTGTGGCCTGTCTATGTCCCATTTTCAAGTTGCACAAAATGCATGAGACAGAAGCATTCGTAGGGAAACTGTTGGGTTGGTTTTCTTTTTTTTTTTTTTTTTCCTCTCAAAACTTATTTGCTTGTGCAGTTAGCCTTCCTGAAATCACCACGCAGAGATGGGTCCCCAGAGTTAAATGTTCGCAAACGCATGTCACATTCAGGGACAGGCATATACACACGAGATCCGCCAGGAGAAGCGGGTAAGAGAAAAAAAGAAAAGAAAAAAACAAAAACCGTAATACAAGTCTCATTCTGTAATTCTGGCCCTTTGAGTAGATTTAGGAAGAGTTCCTTCCCTTCGTAGAAGGTTGCCAAAAAGCAAAGAAAGCTTGTCTTTGGAAGGATTGTGCCTGGTGCAATCAATACAGCTTTGTGTCTCACTACAGCTGCAGGGCTCTGCCTCATGGGCTACCTGCTTTGCTTGTCTAATCAGCTCCAAGGAGCTGTGCTTTCCACTGAAGCCGTGCAGCCCCTATTTATTAGCAAGCAGACCCCCACCCCACCCCCCCAAAAAAGATCTTCCTATCATTATGGGACAAAACATGTGCTTGTCTGAAAATACCACTTTTTGTAGATTTGTGTAGCAATCACCAATCAACAAATAACGCACAAAATGGGGAAAAACAGAAAAATCTCCAATAGGATACAGCTTCAGAAGTTCTTTGCATGGGCTTAAAATTGACAGTGTTACACTGTCAAGGAAATCAACAGAAATTTCTTGCCCCTATTGAATTGGCAACCTTGAGATTTGTCCCCCAGAATGGCTCATTGCTTATTATTATTATTATTTTTCTTCCTCTAAGAGAGGTTTTAAGGGTTATAAGGTGCAAGGGATACAGCACAGTCCAGATTACGTTGTATTTTTGTCTTTCAAATATGACTGCATTATCAAGTAACAGTAGCCAAAGATATTTGAAGATCTCACAATGTCTGGGCTGGATTTTTAAATACTGCGGCAATCTCCAGTCTTAGATGCTAAGGCCCAGGTAGGTATTTTGCATAAAACTGGTCCAGTTGTTATCATGTCCCTAAAATAACAACGTTTGAATATGAAAATTTCCTACACTAAAACTGTAGCGATAGCTAAAAGTGTTTGACCTCTAGGGAAAAAAAAAAAAAAAATTAAAGTTCTTAGACATGCAGAAAATCAGTCAATCCTGTTGCATAAGTGGATTTCAGCTCAAGAGTTATTCTCTGTATATATAAAAGTGTGAAATGTCATGCACCCCACTTAGGACATACGAAGAAGCAACAATCCTTCCTTTGCAAACAGACGTCGTGGATTACATGTGTTTTATCCGACGCATCATTTCCTCCTAAAGCTATTTTTCAAGCCATTTCCGGCAAGCTCTGTCTCCTCCCGGCTGGTTTAACAGCAAGCAGGATACGCGCGAAGGGACTTGGTCGTTTTGCCATCTACGCTGGTTCCGTATGTTTGTAATGTGAATTCCAGTATGTGTTTCGTCCTTGGCTAGCGATATGTACAGTCATGCGTCTGTCAGCCCCGTGGCATTTGGATAAGGACACAGAATTCCTGTTAAGTGAGTAATTTTAGCTTTTCCAGAGGATTATGATCAAAAGCAATTTAATACATCGTAAAGGATATCTTATTTCTACATGGAAAGAGGTTATAGGATCTTCATAGAGTTCTATGAGAAAAAAATATACTTGCTATCTATAAAAAAGAGAGAAAAAAAGGAAAAAAAATAAGAAAAAAATACTTTCTTAGGCTTTTATTCTCAATCTTCAAAGGCACGCAGGGTTTAATGGTTCGTTGGGTTATTATTTTGCAATTTTGTTTTTTGATTTTGCCTTAAGTAATGATAGAAGATATATATGGCTGGACACATATGTATAAACTTTTCAGCAGCATTTTTAATAATAAAATATCACAGTATTTTCTAATGCTTTGTGCAAATAATTATGTGTCTATTCTTTCTTTGTAGGTGGTGTGTCTTGCTTTTATTGTCACTATTTTCTCTGTGGCGTGCTTTTACTTCTGTGAAAGTGTAACGGTGCTTCTGCCAGGCGCTAAATAGAGGAGTTTGAGTGGGGGAAAAATGAGTTTCTTACGTTGGCTCGGTGCACGTTTTCTTTACCCTACTTTTGAGGCAGTTCCACCAGCCTTTATCTGGCTAGCCGGGTCCTGCATGATAAAGAAGTATTTCCCTCACTGCCTATTCTGACAGTGTTGTTTGATATGCAAATGCCTTAACCGTCTGCACCAGTGAGCTCGCTGTGAGGGCGTCTTCAGTGACAGCAGTAATTCCCCCTGATCGCTCTGTGGAGGTAGGCAACTGTGGGCACGCCACGGAGATGCTCTTCGCCGTCCTCCCACGCACATCTCACGTGACAGTCGTAGTAGCCCTCACGTGCAGACCCCTGCCAACAGCGAGTCACGTGGATAGCTGCAAAGCTGAAGCCAGGAGGGAAGAGAAAGCAGCTATAAAAAAATTTAGGGCATCTCAGGGCCCACTCTCTTCCCTGCAGCGTGTAAGCTGCAGCTTTGGAAGGCGGGTTCCAGAGGTTACATCTCCAGACGAATCAGAGAAAGAAAAGATAATGTCATGATAGTCTGCATATCTGATCCCTTCATGATTCAACGATAGTGACTTTGACAAAATGTGTGTATCTTTGTGTGTATGTGTGTATACACAGCTATCTACACATATACATACACATGCGACCTAGGTACATATTGTATCACACATTACACCATACATGTGCATTGTCTATCATATATGTGTGTACACATCAGCATACACATACATATATAAACACATACACTATAGGTACAGATTATGTCATAGTACAATCCATACATACAATAAAATATTGACATATGTATCATATATATATACTGTGGGTGTATGTCAATGATGATAATTTTGGCAAAATGTATATCTCTGTGTGTGTATAGATACATTTGAATATACACACATACACACATGCACTATAGGTACATATATCACACACCAAGCATAACCATTACATATAATATAGATAATATATAGGAAGTGATATGCATATACATATATAAACATCATAGATATGGATTATATCATATTACAAACCATATATAATATATTGATATACAAATTACATCTGCATGTATGTATGTATGCAGTACATACATGTATGTGCAGTACATGCATATGCGTATACATGCACACCTAAATATATATGCACACATACACTACGAGTAAGCACTATATCACACACTTGTATATAGTTATGCATTATAGATAGAAGACAGAAAGTGTATTTACATAAATATAAAAGGTATATATAACATATGTATATACTTCATACATATGCAGATAAATATGTACTTTAAATTTTTAAGCCTAGCATTTTTATTAAATATATATACACACACAAATACACACATACATATATATGTATGTACATATTTTATGGAATTACACATATGGGTGTGTGTGTACACATTTGTGGCTGTTTATAGATGTATAGATATGGATGTATGTTTGTGTAACTGCACATGTAAATGTATTATATATTCAAAAATATGTATTTATATTTTATACCCAGGCATATATTCTCTGAAATTTTTGAACTTTTATCCTTGATATTTGCACTTCCATTAAATATGTGTGCACACACAAGTAAACATACACCACATATATATATATATATATACTTTACACATACATACACATACACATGTTCTGTAAATTCCTGTGTATGAACACAGATGAATATATAACCATATATATATACATACAATACGTCTGTGTGTATATGTGTTGTGTTGATATAATATACAAGTATACACATTTCTCTGTGTGCATATGACACAAAAGCATATCTACTATATATATACATTCATAGATATGTGCATTTTATATCCTTGTTGATTGTGTTTTCCATTAAATGTGTATATATATATGTACAAAACATACCTCTGCACATATATCCATACTCACATACATATATAAACAAAGGATTCAACTTTAATATTTCAATAAACACTAGCTTAGAGAGCCTCATTTTCCCCAATTTTTAAAATCTTAGCTTTTGTGAACATAATGGTACATGCATTCATCCATGCATTCCATAGAGTATTAGAATATCCACACCACATTACACCCTGTGTTCTGCTCCTCTTAAAAATGCCAGTAAACCAGGCACAGTGGTGCGCTCCTGGAATCCCAGCTACTCACAAGACTGAAGCAAAAGAATCACAGGTTCAAGCCCAGCCTGGGCAATTCAGCAAGAACCTGTCTTGATATAAAACAAAAAAAAGTGTTGAGTGTGCAACTTAGTTGTACAGCACTTAGTGAGCATGCTTGAGGCTTGGGGTTCAATCCCCTCCACTTTAAAAAGATAAAGACAACAAAGCAGCTAAAACTGCTTTGATCCTTTCACCCCGGGGTAAGCAGAGAAACCCAGCGATAATGAATGGGAGTGGGTGCTGCTCAGAGCACCCTCCTTGCCGAGAAAAGACCAGTCCGACACCTTTACCCTGCTCTCTGAAGATTAGGGAACCATTTTTCCAAAGACCTGACTTTCATCTGTATACCAGGTCTTCAGAAGTCCTTGGGGGAAAAACTAGAGGTGGAGGTTGTTCAAGACAGCGTGGTGCCCCTTCAAAGGGAGAGGGCCAAAAGGTTGGGCAACTGCATCTCATTTATTATTGATGAAAAATATCAGGGTTGTTTGCAGGGTGAGCAGAAAACCATTAACTGTGGCCAGAAGATGCAAGACAAGGGATTCCTGCTTTGTACAGGTGTAAACTGGGAATGTCCAAATAGTGTCACAGTGGTATGACCATCTTGGAGTATTTGAAAACTACTTCGCAAGCAGGACCTCTCTTAGAAATGAAGGGCATAGATGGATAAACTGCAGAAACCTGGATGCCACAGGTGTTGTACTCTTTTGACTTTTTCCCCACTATTTTGCCTGTTGTGCGCTGGAGAGGCCAAGAACATGATTCTGAAACAGGATGAAAGGAGATTTTAAGACATAAAAGAAGCGCTTAGAGAAGTCTCTGGGAAGTTAAACACTGGAGTCCTTTCCAGGGGTGGTAGAGACAGGGAGTAGAGGTAGATCGAAGAGGAAGAAAAATATTTGCAAAGGGTATGATGGTGCGTGGGTGTAATCTTAGCATTCTGGGGGGCTGAGGCAGGAGGATCACAAATTGGAGCAGAAGGGAAGGAAGGTCACAGGATAGGAGGAAGAAAGAAAGGGAGAGGGAGGGAAGGAAAAGGAAAGAAGGACAAAAGAAAGAGAAAGAAAGAAAGAAAGAAAGAAAGAAAGAAAGAGAGAGAGAGAGAGAGAGAGAGAGAAAGAAAGAAAGAAAGAAAGAAAGAAAGAAAGAAAGAAAGAAAGAAAAAGAAAGAAAGAAAAAGGAAAATGGAAAGAGAGAGGAAGGAAGGAAGGAAGGAAGGAAGGAAGGAACGAAGGAACGAAGGAACGAAGGAACGAAGGAACGAAGAAAGCGAGGGGGGAAGAAAGGAAGAAAATTTTACACCTTGCTAGAATCATATTTCAGAGCTGCTACAACACAGTGATAAATGCTCAGCGGCCACTGGCAAACCAATACCTTTCAGCCAGGAGATTAGATGTACAGAGTTAAGACTACAATTGTCTTTAATACAAAAACAGTGTGGGAAAAAATGAATGTGCTGCCTGCCCATTTTGAAACAGGATGAAGGGAGATTTTAAGATGTAAAAGAGGCAGTTAGAGAAGTCTCTGGGAAGTTAAAGACTGGAGCCCTTTCCAGGGGTGGTAGAGACAGGGATTAGAGGTACACTGACAAGGAAGAAAAATATCTCTAAAGGGTGTGATGGTGCGTGGATGTAATCTCAGCATTCTGGGAGGCTGAGGCAGGAGGCAGTTCCATGTAAATGCCTTGGGTTTTGCTTTTACACTTCGTGTAAACACGGGGCTCCTTTTGACTGGGTCTCTTTCCATCAAGCTGCGGGCTGCCTCCCTGTACTCACAGTATCCTTGGCATCCTGCATACATGCAACCATGTGCAACTATGTTCTCTTCCATTAACAACCAAGTTGGTCAAATGGCAGGGTTTTTTCTCCTTTCCAGATCTAACTTCTTCTTGTTTTATCTATCTATCTATCTATCTATCTATCTATCTATCTATCTATCATCTCTTTCTATCTATCTATCTATCATTTATCTATCATCTATCCACCCATCCATCCATTCATCTATGCACCCATCCATCTATGCACCCATCCATCCACCCATCCACACATCCATCCATTCACCCATCCACCCACCCATCCATCCATCCACCCATCCACCCATCCATCCATCCACCCATCCACCCATCCTTCCATCCATCCACCTATCCATCCATCCATCCATCCTTCCGTCTGTCTGTCCGTCCATCTTCCATCCATCTGTCCATTCATCCACCTACCCATTCATTCTGTCTATCTATCTATCTATCTATCTATCTATCTATCTATCTATCTATCTATCTATCATCAATCATCCTTCTATCTATCATCTATCTGTCTATGATCTATTCTTTCTATGTATCTACCTATCATCTATCCATCATCTATCTGTCTATCTATCTACCTATCTATGTATATCAAGCTCAAGGTCTTGAGTTTTATTCCTGGTTAAGAAAAAATCTAATTTGTGAGAAGCAAGAAAATGTGAACGTGTCTCTGTCTCTGCAGAGATTCTCATTATCATATATAAAATAGGAGAAATGTGTAGAGGGAGAATAAGAGTGGGGAAAGGGAAGAGATGTAAAAAGGAGGAGGACGAGATGGTTTGGGCAGCTTCCGGCTGCCCAGCCTGAACCAATCCAATTCCTCATGGCTATCATGTACAGATATCAAGATTAAGAAATAAAGACATGGCTACAGAGGGAAAGATTGTTGACGACTCCGCCTTGCTGTAAAGTGGCGTTCCATGAGTAC